CCGCCCTTTTCCGCTGGCCATGTAGCATTTCTATGCATTTGTCTCCCGGGTCTGTCACTGCTGGTGTCCGCCCTCTTCCGCTGGCCATGTAGCATTTCTATTCATTTGTCTTCCAGGTCTGTCACTGCTGGTGTCCGCCCTTGTCCGCTGGCCATGTAGCATTTCTATTCATTTGTCTCGCAGGTCTGTGACTGCTGGTGTCCGCCGCCCTTTTCCGCTTGCCATGCAGCATGTCTATTCATTTGTCTCCCAGGTCTGTCACTGGTGGTGTCTGCATGGCCAGCGGAACAGGGCGGACGCCGCCAGTGACAGACCTGGGAGACAAATGAATAGAAATGCTACATGTCCAGCGGAACAGGGCGGCCATTCATTTGTCTCCCAGGTCTGTCACTGGTGGTGTCCGCCCTGTTCCGCTGGACATGTAGCATTTCTATTCATTTGTCTCCCAGGTCTGTCACTGCTGGTGTCCGCCCTTTTTTTCCGCTGGCCACGTAGCATTTCTATTCATTTCATTTGTCTCCCAGGTCTGTCGCTGCTGGCGTCCGCCCTTTTCCGTTGGCCATGTAGCATTTGAATAGGGAGTTCTTTACTTTTGTCTCCCAGGTTCAGTGCCTGCACTGCTGGTGTCCACCCTTTGCCGCTGGCCATGCAGCATTTCTACTCATTTGTTTCCCATGTGATTTGTTTAGTTTACTTTTGTTTCCCAGGTTCGGTGCCTGCACTGCTGGCATCCGCCCTTTTCCCCTTTCCAGCATTTCTATTCATGTGTCTCCCACGTGATTTCTGTACTTCCCCAAACAGGTTACTGTTAGGGGTTCTCAAGGCTTTCTAGGAGTGTCCGCCTACGGGACAGCTTGTCCGCCTTCCGTCCGGCTTGTCTCCCTTTGTCTCCCTTCTTGTTGGTCACTGTGTCCGCCTTGTCTCCCTTCTGTTTCCTTTTGTCTCCCTTCTCTTTGGTCACTGTGTCCGCCTTGTCTCCGGTCTTGTCTCCCTTTGTTGGTCATTGTGTCCGCCTTGTCTCCCTTCCGTCTCCTTTTGTCTTCCTTCTTGTCTCCCTTCTTGTTGGTCATTGTGTCCGTGTTGTCTCCCTTCTGTCTCCCTTTGTGTCCGGTCTTGTCTTCCTTCTTGTTGGGTCACTGTGTCCGTCTTGTCATTCCTTCTTGTCTCTGGTCTTGTCCTCCCTTCTTGTTGGTCATTGCGTCCGTCTTGTCTCCCTTCTGTCTCCTTTTGTCTCCCTTCTCGTTGGTCATTGTGTCCGCCTTGTCTCCCTTCATTCTTTCTTTGTCTCCAGTCTTGTCTCCGTTCTTGTGGGTCACTGCATCCGTCTTATTTTCCCTTCTTTTGCTTTTTCTCCCTTCTCTTTCCTTTCTTGTCAGCCTTCTTGTTGATCATTGTGTCCGTCTTGTCTCCCTTTTGTTATCTTCTTGTCTCCCTTCTTGTTGGTTTGTCTCCGGTTGTGTCTCCCTTCTTGTGGGTCACTGTGTCCGGCTTGTCTCCCTTCTGTTTCTTTTTGTCTCCGAGCTTGTCCCCCCTTATTGTTGGTCGCTGTGTCCGTCTTGTCTCCCTTCTGTTTCCTTTTGTTTCCCTTCTTGTCTCCCTTCTTGTTGATGTCTCAAGAAGGGGACTTGGGAATGCTTCGTTGTTGTCCCACCTGTTTGGGGTCTACGGTAGTGTAATATTTTCAACAAACTCATTAGCCCTTTACTGCATTAGCACTTTAGGAGAAAGATGAGGGTAACCGCTTGGTCAACAGTTGAAATTCGGCAAGGCTTAAAATGTTGATTGCACACACATTTGCACGACAGCTTGGATGGGCCTTCATTGGCCCATGCCATCCAAGTGTCTGTGGGCCCCCCTGCTGTCTGTACAACGTCGAGTGGGAAAGCATGGGGCCTTTACGATGAATTATCATGCTGTGGTCTTTTCCTTTGGAACCAGGACGTGGCACACACACAAAAAGCCGAATCGGCGCTCCCTTTTTTTCTCCGCGGGGAGGGGGGGGGTTGTGGGGTGTGCATTGACTAAGCGAGCCTAAGAGACAACCTGACAAGCCTGAAGGAAAGACAAAAAGAAGAAGAAGGCAAGGAAAGAAAGGGTGCAGGGGTACGGGGGGGGTGCATTGACTAAACGAGCCTAAAAGTCGACCTGACAAAGCCTGAACGAAAGACCAAACAAACGAAAACGGCAAGGAAAGAAAGAAAAGGTACAGGGGTGTGGGGGGGGTGTGGTTGAAAGGCACGGGCACAAAGGCACTGGCCAAGAAGCCGAAACCGGCGCTCCCTTGACTGAAAAGCCTGTGTTGGACCTGAAAAGCCTTTAGCAACGAAGAAACACCTAGAAAACGAAGAGAACCCTAAAGAAGAAAAGCAAACATGTCCATGACATGGGACTGTGCAAAGAGATTACTTAGACGCATGCAGATCGAAGCGATTACATTGTCATGACATTCTTTGGAAAGTTGTTTCAGTGCGCTCTGCAGCATCATATTTGCGATCTCGAGCACACAGCTGAGCCAGTATGAGCCAGTGATGTTCGAGCAAAAACAAATGGCCAGTGAACGTTCACCCAAGCGCCCCTCAGCGGGGATCACGCAACAGACCTCTGTGGGACCCTGTTGCGGCACACGCTTAGATCCATGCTCGCAAGAGCACTATCAGTTTGCTGATTGCATTAGACCTTGACTCGCAGGAGCAGCAAGGTGGAGGGTCAGCTCACTTGTACTGTTTTCAACAAACGCATTAGCCCTTTACTGCATTAGCACTTTAGGAGAAGATGAGGGTAACCGCTTGGTCAACAGTTGAAATTCGGCAAGGCGTAAAATGTTGATTGCAGGCACGTTTGCACGACAGCTTGGATGGGCCTTCATTGGCCCATGCCATCCAAGTGTCCATGGGCCCCTTGCTGTCTGTACAACGTCGAGTGGGAAAGCATTGGGCCTTTACGATGAATTATCATGCTGTGGCCTTTTCCTTTGGAACGGGAAGTGGCACACACACACACACACACGTGGATCCTGAATAACCAAGTAGGGATGCCGTCCAATCGGGCACTTTAAAGTGTTGAACTTCATTCCGAAACCGTCAATGAGTCTTACATATGTCCTACTACTTGACAGTCTCAATCTACTTGCAACTTCCGCAAAGAGCAATGACAAAATCTCGTTTCGACGGCTTTGTGGTTGTGTCGCGGCTCGATGCGGCTCACGTCGTTGTGAGGCCTGGCTTTGTTGGTCGCGGCGCTCCGTCCCCAATTGCCTGAACTCGCTTGTGATGCAGCCGGTGCCGGACATCGGGGGGTAGCCAACATGGATGGGTAGGTAGCAGATGGTGTTGGAGAGGTGAGAAGGGGCCACGAGAGAGAGTTTCAGTCCTTTTCAATTTGGCGATGCGCAGGAGAAAATCACATAAGTTGCAGGGCATTGGTCGTTTTTCCTTACTGTATACATCACCTGCGGGTCAGATGTGGAGGGTCATGGAGCGACCTAAACCCTGCAAGATGCACAAACGACCATATGTGTCGGAACTGATCCCGCCAAATCCGCAGAGACGTGCCACATCACATCACATAGGTAGCAGTAGCGGCATGAACATGATGACATGACTTGACAATTCTTTCGCAGACACCTTGAGAACTGAATGGGGAGCCCGTCGATGCCAACCTGCTGAGACACGTGCCACTCCTGTGTTCAGCTATCGGTGACCACTCCTTTTTCTCTCCCCTCTTTCAGCAGCGCGCGGGGTGCTTTGGAATGATCAAGGGTAGGTCCTTTCGAATGTCGCAGGAGTGGTGCAGCAAATCTTTCGAAGCTGCTCTGAAACGCCGGCACTGCGGTTTCAGCTGATCCAAAGTCTGCAGGGATGCATCCAAAAACTGACCAAGGAGAATGGGGGTTTGCACTGCAAAGATTGCAGTTCCCAAATCAAGATGTTTCCAGGAGGTTCCCTTTGGATCCCTTTGGACCATGTAATCCGTGGTGTCCCCAAACAAGATCCTGGCTCTAATCCGAAGACTTCACTAGGTAGCGAAGCAGTGCGAAGCAGTGAAGAACATCCAACTCGATTCCACCGAACTTTCACCAAGCAGTGCTGAGACCTTCATAGCCCAGACGTCACAGATGGCACCTACATGCGTTTTTTTGCTCCGAGATTTGTACTTGTGGCGTTGTTGTGTAGGTTAGGCAGAAGGGGGGGCACTCTGAGTTGGACAAACATCACTGCTTGGTCAGGACAAGCACGGATGCTTGGTAATCCAAGAGGCCTTGGAATCTGCAACATGGGAGATGCAGATGCCCATCATGACTGAGCTCAAGGGAAAGGTGTGACATGCCAAAACCGTTGGCATTTGCTGTCTTTGGTCGGCTTTTGAGGAGATTTGTGCCACTGCAAAAGCATCACAGTCGCAACACTAGCTTAATTGCCCCAGATCTGAGTATATACTATATACAGGAAACAATTAAATATATTAAATCTCTGTCACTTCATAGGATTCTTGTGAGGCCTTTGTTCATCCAGAAACCTGAGGTTCTATTGCAGTCGCCACATGCACGGCAACTTTGTGATGCAGAAGGTGATTCAAACCTTGCCGCCGAATGCATTGGGCTTCATGATCACCGAACTCAAGGAAGGCTTTGTTTTTCAAAGGGATTCAATCGGAGTTGGTGTCGCAGCCTAGGGGCCTAGAGTTTGCTTTGCCTTGAGGGCCCCTGCTTTTCGCTGGAGCTAGGAGAATGCAGTGGCCGCAGCACTGCATATCTACGCGTGCCGAGTGCTGCAGCGTTTGATTGAATGCTGCGGGGTGGCCACATCTGACTTAGTGGACATCCTGCTGCAACCAGGCCTGGACAGTCTGTAGAACATTGTAGAACCATCATGGCTTCGGTCGTAAGCAGCGACAAACTGTTGGTACTGGGAAGATAGGCTAACAAAAACTAACATATACCAACAACCCGGAACCTGAGCCTGGAGTTCCAGCTGTAACCAATGCCAGGTGAACAACTTCAACGCTTGGTCAAGGACCCCTACAGCAGCAACGCCGGCGCCTCAAAAAGTGGGAACGTGTGGTATTGATAGCTAGGAGTCTGGGAGTTTCGATCAATAATATCTCTATATAATTCTATATATATCATCTATATTAAGATCTATATACAATAAAGAAGTAAATTAGTATAAATCAATTATATATACTCGTATATATTGTATGATTGTACGTGTATACCCCCTAGCCTACCATAAATCTACCATACAATGTTACAAGCATATCCCAATGAGTGTCTCGTGCATTCTCTCACCCAAACAGAAGGAGCGTTCTTCCGTTCCCTTTTCCGGGACGCTCCGGCGACACCGCAGGTGATTCGTTCATTGGTGGTGTGCGGCAATGTGAGCCAGGTTCAAATCGCTCGGCAGCCCAGGAGCCAAGTTGAGAGACCCAGTTTTAGTGCTCGATGTTTTTGATGCCTTCTGGAACAGCTACAAAAAGAGAGCTTCCAGGAAATCCGACCTCGGCACACGAGGGGTTGGTTTGTTATGGTTTGTTCTCCGCCGAGCTCCTCAGGTAATGCGACTCTTCAGCACGGATGTGATGAAGTTCTCACGCAACCGCCATGCAAGCTTGGCAGCTTCGACATCGATAGGGCCAAGCATGGTGAGAAGCAGAGTGGAGTGGAGTTCCAACCACGGTCCACAAGAGGTGTGGGTGTTGATTCTACCTTCCCCCTAAGTCACATGGCTTTTGCCAGGAGAGTTGGCCAGGTGGGGGCTATGTTCATCAAACCCTTGTGGGTTTGCCCACTGAGGTCTTGGAAAAATGCTTGGAAGTGTCTGCCTTTGGAGTGAAAGCCGCTTCCCTCACTCAGGCAGGGTGAGCAGGAAGCGAGTGGAGAAGGGCTGAACCCAAGGGATGGCCCTCCAACCTACTAGCGATGGCCTCCAATCTAATGGAAAATACCAAAACGGATAATGCCTTGATGCTGGTGCAGGCCAGTCCAAAGGAACACCCCAGCGGCTTCAGACACATCATGAATCCTTCGGCCCTTTGCCGCCTCAGGTCGACTGTTAAAGGCGGACTTTTGGTTTCCTCGACTGTTCAAGTGTGGTGTGTGGTGTGACCTTGAGCATCCATCCATCCATCCATCCATTCATCCATTCGCCGAAGTCCAGCGCTTTTTGTTGGGCTCAACTGCGTTTCAAGCCTCCACCCGTGCGAAGTCCGTCCCGTCGCATCTCACTCCTTGGCCGCCAGGAACGCCGGGAGCTGATGAACGCCTTCTTCAGCACGTCCCGCAGCGCTTCTCCGCCGCTGCTGCAGATCATGCTGGACCGGATCCGCTCCCGTCCCGGTGACGTCCGTCCCCGCCGTTTGCGGGGGACCGGCGGGAGCGCCCGTCCCATACGTTCCGGTGCTCGGGTTCTGCACAGCGAAGAACGCCGAGCCCGGTTCCCATGTCGTGGGGTCGAAGCACCCGTCGGTTCGCACCGTCGGTTCGTGGTCCTGGCTCGGTGACCGGTGGGAGGGCGGTGTTTTTTTTGGGGGGGAGCAGGGGTGCGAAAGAGCACAGCGATGTGGTTGGACAGTGGACCCTCAAAGTTTGGAGCGATGTCACTAGTTTCCCACTTGGGGTTTGGAAGTCGTTTATGATCGTTTATGCCAATATTCCCTGCACGACTTCCTTGTCGTATCCTAGAACCTAGGACGGGGTCATTCTCATGAATTCAAAACGAACCGCGCGAGCGTAGGACCGCTTTGGAAATTACATCGTCCAGCGGGTGATTGACACCTGCAGCGGGACTGAGAAAGAGGAGGTGCAGGGACCTCGTCGACTCTGTGGACTTGACCTTTTGGACTGGAGGTACTAGTAGCTTCTTGCTACTAGTAGCGATGCCAGGAGCCCCTAGTAGCGTCCTTGCTCCTAGTAGTAAAGCCAGGAGCCCCTAGTAGCTTCTTGTTCCTAGTAGCGATGCCCTTGTTCGTAGTAGCGGATGTTTGGGAGGCAGACAGAGGCCAACGGCAAACTTAAAGGATGGTGCATGGGCCCATGGGATTGACAAATAACACGTTAGCAGTTCACGGGCTACTTACGCTCGGCACCACTTCTTTGAAGCCGGACGATGTGCACGCCTCCTATTTTCTGGCGGGATTTTGTTGGATTCCCAATTTTTTTTGCATGGCAGATTGGCTGTCACTCTGTCTTACTAAGTTCCATGTTGATCCCTTGATCAGCCAATCAATCAGGTGAAAAGGCTGCTGGTGCTTGCTTTGCCAAAGCTTCAGAACCTTGGCCAAAAGACGACGGTCCCTGGGTGCCTGACTTTTAAGAATATCAAGTAATAATGTGAAAATATCATTATTGATATTACTCCGCAGGGAAAATTGATGAGGTGACTTTTTTTTATTGCGCCAGGTTTAGGTATCAGGAGCATTCAGGTGTGTTGCGCCATCTATGCGCCCGTGGCTTAAAAAAACAGGAAGATTCTGCATGAGTTTGTGCGCTATTTTGCAGAAAATAGCGGAGATTGGGACTGCTCCATCTATTGCCACAGAACTTGGCCATTGGGCCATCTATAGGCCCCAAACGTTGTTTGGTAGGGAAAACTAGTATCCGCACAGACACCCCGCATAATTTTAGTTTTCTGCAATCCAAAGACCAGTTGCGCCATCTATGACGGCCAAATAGCGAGAAAAAGGAGTTACATGGCGCGGCCGTTCCCGCTATTTCATTTTTTGAGTTGCGCCAACAACTTTCTCCCCGGTGTATGCAATAATTATAGTATATAAAACATAGTTTTCCGGTGGATGTCAAAATGAGCCAATGGCCTAGGACATTCTACAACAGTTCTCGAGCACAGCTCAATGTTGAATCTTGAATGCTGCGCACTCAGCGAATCCGAAAGAACGTCGAAATCTGCAGGAGCTCTGCTGCTGGAAAGCACATCCTCTCCGCCGCGAGCAAGAAGTTTGGACTCAAGGCACCAAGTTGGGCCGGTGATGTTGGGGAACAGACGGTTTTGCCGCGCCGCGGTCCAGACACAGTTCGGACTTGCTGACCTGGTTATTATTCTTGAGCAAAGGATGGCTTAACCTCCCTCCACACACGGAAGTTTGCTTTCCAATGGCAATCTTTGTTGGAACTGAGTGTGCTTTCCAAAGGCTTCACCTTTTGGATGCCACTGCTTTGTGAATTGGATTCGGGTGCTGGCAGGTGCACTCACTTCCTGGCTGCTTGGCGACACGCGAAACCATCCGGTGCCGTGAGGTGTTCATGTCGGATGGGCTAGGGTTAACGATTACTGCATGCTGGAGATATTGGCTCGTACCAGTGGTACCATGGGGGGGACGTCCCAACCAATGGGTTTGCTCATTAGCTAGTCACTTGTTGATCTTCTCAGGAGTCTTTGCAGTGCCTCCATAGTCCAACAGACACTGCGCACTTGAAGCATCCCTCCAGAAGCCGTGGGTGATCTCATTGCGTCCATCGTCCAACCGCCTAGATCCGCTTTTGAGGACAGTGACAGAGACATGAACGGCATGAACAGGCTGCCGCTGTTTCAATTAATTGCATCACAATCAATTTTTCCATCGCGGAAAAAGGAGGTTCAATGTCCGGAATCCACACCTAAGGCCAAACTTGTGTGCAAGCTGATTCCGAGAGGCCACATTAACTTGCCCCCTTTGTAATTGTTTGGAACGGGTGTTTTCTCAAGGCCGCTGGATGCGCGACAAAGAACACCTCCGACTGCACAGACTCCTACTACAGGAGCACGTCTATGTTTGAAGATGACTGCATTTCAAGTCAAACAGTTTGAATCACTGAAATTCAAGTGCCATGGTGCCACATGAGCGACGGGCAAAGTTATTGGCTGACTTATTTAGTCACGGCATGACCCTAAACCTATGTTGAGGGCTTTGTTTCTGTGGAAAACGATAAGGTCCCCACCAAAAACGATAGTCTTGTTAAGATGTAGTGGGTACAAAGATGTTTGTGGTTCCAGATGCGATTGCATTTGCAAGTTTATTTGAGCATATTTGAGCTAAACCGATGGGCGCCTCTTTTCATCAATGATAATCCCAGACAACTTCCCAAACGATAATCCAAACGATATGCGAACGATAACCTAAATGTCACGCCAGGCACTCCGTAGACCTACTTCTCCACATTACTAGTGTTGGTCCGAGTGCATAAATCAAGTGCTGTGCCATTCCTGTGCAGAAAGCACTGTAAACCTCTAATCTGAGGTTGTGAGTCATATTTTGTGTTTTAGCCTATGTGCTGGTATGCTATGCTAACTACGGTTTGGAGAAACATTGGAGAACGATATGGACCCCACCAAAAACGATAATCATGTCAAATGGTATTGCGCTACACAAGTAATTTTGCCCGCTGCTCACATGGTGCCACGAGCGAATCCCTTCACGCGTCCTTCACGACCGGAGTTCGCGCGCGAGAGCGTTTCGCTGTGTCTTGGTCCGTGCATTCCATCAGATTTCAGCAGGATGACCGCTCCGTTCGTCTTGATATGCTTTGATCTTTGATCCAAATGAGTGAGTTGATTGAGAGACCCCAATGGGTCAAACACCCCAAAGTGTTTTGCATCTCTGCTTGAGCTGCGTGGCCGACCTGTTGTGGGGTCGAATGGAACGGACTGCCATTCCGTATGCCGATCTGCAGCTCGAACGACCGATTTCTAGGTCGCCCAATCGGCTCCCATCCAAGCTTACCGAATCCATCGCCAACCAGCACCAGCACCAAGGCTTTGGGATGCGTTCAGGTCACTGGATGACCGAATCTGATTGTGCACGTGAACGTAGGAACTCTTTCAGCATGGACTCACAATCTTCCACGTGTGTTGTGTTGGGTGATTTTTGGAATGTGGGATCTCAGCCTCTAGAGGCCCGATCTGACTATGTGTCCATCTTCTTACTTCGGCTGGCTTCAGTCGACCAAATCCACCCACAGCTCTTTGTCAGATTCATAGATTCAAGCTGCAGCGGCAGAATCATGGCCCCGTGATGAAGTCCAGGGCTGCAGTGTGCAAACAGAACATCACTGAGTGCTTGATCCTGTTTGGAGCATTGCTCACACAGCGGCATGGAGCTTAGATCGTTTGGCGCTGGATGCGCTGCATCAACCGAGATCGCTTCAAGAAGCTTCGATTGGACCGGGCCCAATGGATGGCACGAAAGCATGCATGGTGCTTGCACAAACCTGGCATGTTCAGTGTTGGCTTTTGATGATGTTTTTTTTTTGGGGGGGGGCATGGTGGGCCCAGACTTGTTGGGCTTGGTCCGGATTGACACCACAACGCAATTCACACCGCGAATGATGATTTTTGAAGCGAACGGTTGTTGTGATGGTGCATTGATGGACCTGAACCTGCCTGGAGCAGTGTTTTTCTTTGCTCCCCATGAACTCAGACGCCATCTTTTGCGACTTGCTTTTGGCTTGAAGGACAGCTGCAGCCAATCTGAGAATGCAAATGATTTCGGTGATCCCCTTCTTAGGATTTCATTGAGCATGTAAAGCCCGGTTGGGGGATCATGCGGAACAGGTCCCCGTGGTATCCTGCGGATAGGATTGTGCTGGTAGATTGGGATGTTTACCTCAGTTTGTTGCTTCCCAAAGGCGCAACTGGCCCTGTAATTCGGGCACGTCCTTTCAGCCAATACTCCCATGTCGCCTGCCAAGGTGATGCTGCTGCCTAAAAAGGGCTGATATTTTTAAGCAAGCCCCATCTGGAAAGTCCAGTCTTGGCCACGGGAGCAGCGCCTCCGAGCCCCGTTTGGTCAAGAGACGCGATGGGACTCTGGACATTCCTCCAGACACGTGATGTGGACGCCCGAAGCGTTGAACGCTGGCGAGTCGGCCGATGGAAACCGATTGGAAGTTCACGATGCCACGGTGAGATTCTCAGTGTGCCAATTGAGGGTGTGACCTTGAAGGTCCGAGATTGATGGAGCTACCAGTAACATCTAGTAACTAGTAGCGCTCCGTGTGTAGCGATGCCCTTGGTTCCTAATAGCATTCTTGCTACTAGATCTACTAGTAGTAGTGCCAGGAACTACTAGTAGTCTTCTTGCTCCTAGTAAGGCGCCAATTGAGGATTCTGAAATGATGCCACGGCCTGGTTCTTCCGCTTTCAGATCACATGAGGTTCCTCATCATTTCTTGATATATCTTGATATATTTTTGCCCTCAGCTTGCAAGTGTTCTGAAACACGTGACACATAACGTGACACGTTTGTTCTCATGATGATCGTTGAAGTTCTCCAAGCTTTCAGCAGTTATTGGGCAAACTTTTCGTTGCAAAAGGTCAGTGCTTGCTTGCACGATCTGCTTCTGGGCTGTAGAAACTACCTGCTTAGTGCCTGCTGCGAGGATCAGTGAAGCCGCCACCTCGTCAGAAATGGGCCACCTGACCAACATTTGTCAAAGCAGGGAGAATTGACACCACTTGTGTTTTTATTTGTTAAAAGATGCCACGCAAATTTTGAATATTGTCAATGAT